AAGTTTTGCCATCTGCTTACCTATGCATTTGAGATATTGCAGCCAGCGGTTGCTTTGATCGCTCACATTCCGCTACCTGGTATGTACTGTATTTGTAGACAGAATTAATAGTACTCTCCTCAGGAACTTTTGCGTACTAATGGCAGCTGTCTGAAATAAGTCCAAAGACTTGTTCCCATTTGTTTTTCTCTGTTCTATTTTAATTAGTGCAAAACTTCCAGGAGAATCACTTGGGTACGATGATTCTGCTCATTCCATCCTTTGGGGTACTCAGTAATCCACAATTTCATTCATTTCGTTCGCAACTGATTCCTTGTTTGCTAAATCATCAGGTATGGAAGGATCAACCACAATCTTTTTTCAAGGTTTACCTCAGGTCGTCTGAGGACAGAGTTTTCACTTTCTCTCCGTCCCGTCCCGTCCCGTCTCAGTGTCTCTCTCTTTCTTTCTCTTGTTTTTTTTCCACCCGCTCTGCACCTTCCATTCCCGCGCCGTGCACTGCATATTTCGTTGGTTTTTGTTCATTTGCCCACCGCTTTGACCAGCTGACCGATCAAATGGATGAGGATCTACACAGTATGCTGGTCAATTTTCTACGCGTAGGCAAACAACACGTGGCGTTGCGCACACAGTTTTTTCATTGGCTTGGTGCTTGCATTGAAGCTAATCGAGGTAAGTTATATGCTCCCCCTGCTTCGCTCCCACAATTCCATTCCAATTCTACATCAGTCTGATCCATTACGGATCTCCCTAACTTTCAATCGTTACTACAGCGCATACCATCGTTCTGTTATTCACTGTTTCTTTTGTACATAGCGCGGTGAGATGGAGGTACCCCGATTTCCACCGTTGGAAAGCTATCAACGAGGTGCAAGCCGGCACTCTTGTAGCTTCAGTCCATGCCTGATCGTATCTGGAAGGCACGCACTCATATCTATAGAGTGCTCACCACGCTTGTGGCAATCGACACCCATTTGTTTTTATGGTGACTATTCGCAAAACTTTCTTCGCTAATTCCACTGATTGCATTAAATTCGATACGCATTTGGCCAAGCCAGCGTCTAATCTTAGTTATCATTATCGCAGGTTTTCTACTCAGATTGCAACCTCGGATAGAGATTTCGATTCCGTCAATGAGGCATGCAACAATCCTGATTTGTATTGTTTAATTGCACTTGGTATTGCGATTAAACGAGAAAGTTTAACCCAATAGAACGTGTACACAATCTGTGTCTAGTTCCAACTTAAGTCAATTTCCATTCAGTTTGTACAACCATTGACCATGCACTATTGTGCGCCGGTTTTGGTTGCTGTCCATTTGGATGAACGTTAGGAAAGGTTGAAAGTAGGATCAAAGAGAATTTATAATTTCAGTGGACTAATGTGGCAGATAAGATGCACGAACACCACTGTTTACAACACTCAGCCATATCACTCAGTGTCTCTAACCTTCGGATACGATTATTTCGAGGTCCCCAGCCAGGGAGCCTAACGGGCCCTGTGTGACTCAGACTCCTGGTTATCATTTTCTTATCCTCATGTCAAGTCTTAGCTTGATCACCCTGGGCTTTCACCCACCCAATACCTTCCCCGGCGAACATCGCTCGCCGTGGCAACCTATCTGGTGACATGCGTAACACATGCCCCAAACAAATTAATCCATGGAGGTCGGCCATTTGATCTAGTGGGCGACCGCATTTACCTAAAACTGCGCCGAACCTCAGCAAGTCAAGTCAATATAAGTTTTATACACCCNACATGAGATTCTCGAACAGAATCAGGTTCCCGAGGATGAAAGTGCAAACACTGGGTTTTCCGTTCTCCCACGCGGTATTTCTTATTCTTATCATTATCCTTATTATTATGGTCTAGTCGGTGTTCTTAGCTATACTAACCTCATTATCCTGTAGGTCACTTTGGTTTCGTCATTATCCTCGGTATCTTTGTTCAAACCAAGACATGAATTGAAAATTGTTCCCATTAGAAGTATTTCCCACGGAAATGTTCCAATACTGTCTTTATCGTAATGCATTTTTTTACCTTTCTGGATGCAGACACTTGTTGCTCAAAGTCACCGAGCAGTAGGTTGCCAAACAAATACCTCAAAACGCTTTCTTCCTTAAGGGGTTTTCTATTGGGGGAAGGGCTCGAGAACGAGCTTTCACCATTAACTCAGAGAAGCTGTCCACATGCAGCCCCATCAGGTTTTCATGTTATCTTGGATTAATTATGTAAGTTACCTAAGAAAGTAATACCTGACGGGCTTTAATAATTGCGAAACTGGTCGTGTGCTTCCAAGGGAATTTTGTTGAATCATTCAGGTACTGACTGCTACAATACATGCAACTTTCTTTCACATACATGTCTTCCTTCAGTTTTCAGTTCCCAAGAGCCTAATGCGATAGTTTGAAGGATCATGGGATAGGAAGAATTTGTGGCAATATATAAAATCTTTTGTTTCTTTTGGATTCTTGATTGTCAAAACAGAAAGAAGACAAATGTCGCGAGATGTTAACATTTCGTTTAATCTTCTCAGTCGCTGACTTAAAACAAACAGGCACATATATAGCACATGGGATTAATCAATTTTGGTGAACAAACGTGTACAAGCATACAGTGATTACTAAATTTAGAAGTAGAAGGTCAGTGGATCGCTTGTATCAGAAACTTCTGTGCGCACAGGGTCGAGTGATGTAATTAAATAAGCAGTGCTTCACTAATCGCTAAAAGTTTTGCATTTCCATTACGTAATTGTGGTTTGAAAGACGAATTGGGGTCAACTGTGTGTCTTGTTGCCATGACATGTTTTCCAGCAGATGATCCTGGATTTCTTGCAATCACTTGGCCATCATTTGTCGGTTGCGTCATCGATTTCACCAACCACTTTGGAATATGTTCGGCCGAACATTTTCATCTAACGCTCATGTTTTACTCCTATACAATCCCTTAAAATAATCTACATGGAGTTTACCTTCCACTTGTTATTTTTTTCCTGGCTAACTTCTGTCCGTCCTTTCTGATTTTGTGATTTCAGCTCGAAGTCAGCTTGCTTCCACAATGGGCGGGGGTCTTATGGGTGGGCCAGATTTGCGTGGCTTGGCAACAGACGGTTTTCTGAGCAACCTGACGGCGATGATCGTCCGTCTAACCGGTCCATTGATTCATCCACCGATCACAGATTCCACTCTGGACAAGTTATGGCCCGCCTACGCATCTCAGGTTTCATCAAAAAATACAATACTTCCAGGTTAGCATTTGATAACCTCCTATGCACAACCTCTGGCAAGATGTCGCCTTTAAATGGTTAATAGTAAGTGTACACAGACTTCTCCTCAGCAACTACCGTCCTGGGAATCGCCTCCTGCCGTTGCGTCACAGATTCCACCAAGCGTTCAGGGTATCCATTCTGGATGATGATATTCCGCACATTTTGGAGTTCTTCCCTCATCATGTCCTTCGTGTAAATTCTGTTAGCTCTACTGACCAAACAGAGTGTGAGATTCTTCTTCATACTGAGTGGTACAAAACTACGGAAATGAATGTACTGCCAATTCCAAGTCACCTTACTATGTACTGACCACCTAATGGGCCCCTTCATCACAATGAGTTAGATAAAAATCTAAATATGCTAGTTGATTTTTTGCTTCATTTTCAATCGTGAATTTCGAATTCCCATGCGCAGCGTTGAAATAATCTAGTATATGTTGGCAGTCCGTTATAGAATCGACACGCACAAAATATCGTCTACGTAACTTTAATACTGTACGCATTGTTCGATGTGTTTTAAGTGGACCGTTTTCTATTTTGGACATGAGAACATCGGCAAACAAAGGCCCTAGCAAGGACCCCATTGCCACACTGTCCTGGCGGTAGATTTCGTCATTGAACCTGAATTGCACATTGTGAGTGCGGAAGAATAACAATTATTTTAGGTTATCTGTCGGTAGGCTTACGTTAATTTGCACGAGGGACATGATGAGGGAAGAACTCCAAAATGTGCGGAATATCTTCATCCAGAATGGATACCCGGAGCGCTTGATGGAATCTGTGATGCAACGACAAGAGGCGTTTCCCAAGAGGGTAATTTCTGAAAAGAAGTCTGTGCACATTTCTCTACCATTTAAGGGCGAATTTCAGGTTAGTTCAATCGGCTGCTTTATTTCTGGTGTATTTGATCCTTTCTGTTCTGTATTCTCTTTTTCCTTGCCTTTTTTTACTCAGCCTATATAATTATGTTTCAAAATTCCCTTTTGCGAACAAGTGCCGGTAGCAATAAGTCTGCGGATCACATGCGCACGGCTATGTGACTTCTGAGGGAAATGAATAATACACAATTTGTTGGTACGATTTGATTTTTATCAAGTAAATAAAAACTGCGATGTCTTTCCTAAGTATAGTCTCGAGCACATTGTTTAGACTCTTTTGGCAATTGGTAGTTGAATACCAAGGAGTAATCCAATGGTAACCTGTTGAATTTGCCATCGTGCATCACGCTAGAGTGCGCTGGGACCTCCGAAGGGTTTTGATTTTGACGCTTTTGTATTGAACCAGGCAGAACCTGTCAGTCATTCGGTCTTCTGCCGCATACTAAGATAGATGATCTGTTGGTTTGAGGCATTGGCTGGAGGACATTTTGAACCCGCGATGCTGGTTGTACTGTGTTTGGAAATCACTCCAATTTCCTTTTGGTTTGGTTTATGCATCGATTCATAGATAGCCAGGCTGAAATAAATTCGCGAGCATGGAGTATTAGTGCTCTCTATCTATCTACGGTAAACTCCAACTCAATGTTATTAGTTTCAGTCGCAGACAAAGTACTTCCGATAATCTTTTCAGGGACCATATTCCATATTTACGTTCTATCTACTTAGCATAACAATCTAATCGCCTCATGCTTTAACTGTTTTGAAAGAAAACATTCCCTTTCACCGTAGCTCCAGGTAGGTAAACAATCTTTTACATCCACACATTGGTTTTCCCATTGGATAGAGTTTGCATTTCTTCATTGGTTGATCTAATTCTGATTATTTGAATGAATCGGATTGCACATTAATAAAAGTAGAGTCAGAGTTTAACTTACTCTGACTTAAGTTTCAGCCAAATCAGCGTAGTCTATCTTTAATATAAACGTCACGCACTCCTAATTCCACCCCGGTTCCATCCCCATCCTCCTATGTTATCGAACCCGTCCGACTCTCCTCGTCCCGGTAGATCTGGGCCAAGAAACACGTCTGGCTGGCACTTTATCCGGCAGTGGATCCAGCGCGCCTGTCTTTCCATCCGATGTCCCGCTTCTGACCCAATTGTTTTTCCTTGCACACGCGGCTATCCGGGTCGGTTGGACACCGCTGATTGCACGTCATTTTGAAACCGCACAGCAGTTGCATCAACTTGAGGCTCAATGGCAAGCACATGAAGCTTCCGGTCTGACAAGCAATGCAGACTCACAAGGTATGCTGGGTGATAAGTATTTTGCATAATCGGATAGGGTGCAGTGAAGTTGGAAGCATTACAGCCCATAGTATCCTATGCAATTTTTTTATATTTAATTCACACCGGTGTAAGATTGACAACAGACGGAGTAGTCACGAAGACCTGTTTTTGTTTGTTAGTTACCGGCAACCTAAGCCCGGGGACTTAGAATGGAGAACCACATAAGACTCAAGTTGATCCATTAACCAGCCATGAACAGACTGGCACACAGATTGTTGCATCCTAGCATCACTGCGCTAACCGGAATCGGATCGATAAACCTTGCCTCTTTCGGGCCCAGTTAATCGGGCTCTCTGTTCCAGGGCATTACAAGTGTCTACTATGTTAACAAGAGACTGACGCTTTAATACGGAAGCATCGTATAAATACGTACCTCACCGTACAGTGAATGCGCGTCTGTTCAGGTTTGCACGCGAGCTGTCCGCGGTTTCTTTTTACGCTTGAATGTATTGAATGGTTAACAACCTGCTTAGAATGCCTTTTTCCCCTCACCGTTTAATCTGTCAAACTGAAAGTACACACGTATCCCGTATTTTCTGCTTTATGTACATGAAAATCCAGGTTATTTTAACAATTCCAATTAATATGGTAATATCCAATGTTATGTACGCCCCAGTGAGTTCTCTCATTTATGGTTGAGCCCGAATACCAAGTGAAACCCTAAAAACCGAATCACATCTCCTTGCGTAGCCAAGTACTGTTTGCAGGGTGACAGGTTGATTGTAACTCGTTTATCACACATACACACCACAATGACATGCACACCTTTTGTTTTTAGGCAGATCCGTTTGTCAGGTGAAAACTCCACGCATTATTATTAATTGTCATTGTTCGTTCGTATTTTTCATTCAATAAATTTTTTCCACCTGTTTACAACTAACCATCTTCTTCCTGTCCGCAATCTGGAACGTCATCCGGTAGAATACATCTCCGTTACGCAATACCTCTATCACTTTTGGTTGTTGTACTTGTAAGAAACATTGGCATTGATCAGTGAAGCATGTCTTGAATGCCACATTTAATGGATGATCTTCACAAAATGGTTACAGATTTTTCTCATTGTTCATTTTGTCCCTCTGTGTGACGTATGCAAAAGTTCCCTTGATCTTTTTTCAATTTCTCCCAGACCAGTTGTCTGATAGACATACTAAGGGCTCTTTCCATATCCATGTTTCCTTCCATACGGACATCTTGCAGAATTCTTACGAAGGTTAGATCCAAAAGCAATTTGCTTTAAGTGCCATAATTTTTTGTCTTTTCCTCTTGCTACGTATATAAACTTTGGCCTTCCTTGGTGAATTTTTCCTGCAATAATCTGTCATCTAGCTAACGTCCTGGATATCGGTTGAACAGTACTTTCACTTTGATCTGTCCCATTTTCTTCCCTCTTGGTACTGCAGCTCAGTTTCTCCGTCCCCTAATTCGTGAACGCACCTCGCGCTATCTGGAGCAGTCAACCAGTCTGTCAAATGCTTCTCGACTTCGTAATTTGTTGGCCTTCTCTGTTACAACCAGTCAACTATTAGTTCATCTCGCCCGGACCGCTTTCGGTTTAGATCCAACCGGGTCCGTGGAACATGGCGGGCTATCCGATTTACCTGAATACTTGGTTGACAATATTGTGGAATTGATCAGTTATTTACGGCGCGCCAAAGATGATTTTTTCGAAGTAAGTAATTTTCTTTTGTGGGGCGATACTGGTGTGCAGTTATTTCTTTTGCTTCCTCAGCATCGCACAGTAAAACACAGCGGAGCGAATTTCAATAATCACTGCCGAACTTGCAATGCAAACGAACTGAGTGAAAATGTGTAAACTGGACAGAGATTTCATCTATTCTGAGGGATTGAGATCGAGAGAGGAAACGACTCTATATAGTCCGCATAGCACACGTTCTAACTGTGCATACACACCTTTTTCTTGCACTCTGGTCTGATAAGAACTGATAGCCAAAACGGTTCATCGCCTCACCTCTCAGTGACTCAGACCAGCTAATTACAAAGTATTTTAGACACCAATCTAAATGATGAGAGACACCTAGTTTACCTAATCATTATGTATCGTGTCATTCATCGTCTCCAAGTCATTTGTCGTCCTCCACATGGTTTCTCCTACAACCTGGAACAGTGATGAAGGCGAAGTGCATCAGGCGATAACCATTCAGTGTAGCCGCTCCGGGCTGAAGGAAACCAAATGGAGGTCAACAGATGATGTGGAGAAGAAGCATGAAGAAATGCAGTCATTAGGTAGAGTAAGTGTCTCCCGTCTTCCAGGTTGGGGTCCGCAAGGCCATTAAACTGGTCGGTTGGAGATATTGCAAGATATGACAACTAACCGACAGCAGTGGCCTTCTTTTTGTCATTTCTTATCAGGTCAGAATGCTAGAAAAAGTATTTATGCACAGTCAGGTTGTGTACTCTGTGTGCTGACCATAGAGGTTCACTTTCCTCGCCTCCCTTCAGTTAGGCCCAACCCCTATCCACCTCGTACTTTTCACTTACCTTTTGTATATTGAGAGCTTCACTTCTCTGTATCTCGCTGTACGACGACAATGATGATGATTGCATTTCGAGAAACGTTCCTATACAATCATGTATTTCAAGCGGCTTGTGCTTAAAAAGTCCAACAAGCTGCAGTGACTTTGCGGAGATGTTTTCCTTACCAAAGTCGGAGTACGAATAACCAATAACCTCCGGGTAATGGTTAAGGGTCTGCATTAGATTTTGACCGCATTTTAATGCACCATTTATTGTATTTCATTGTTCTCCATAACACATTTTAATTAAAATGCGCGCTGAAATTATATTACTATAATAATAATAATAATAATTATTATTATTATTTCGGTCGTACTTCTCTACTCCGATCTTTTCTTTTTCCCGAACTGTCAAGTTGTGCAACGCCTTCCGACGTTCTGCTTTCCCCGTGATTTACAACTCTATGCTCTTTAAACGCCGACCTAATAAACGGGATATTACGCGGTTGTTCCCCGACTCTCCCTCGTACAACATACTTTTTGACTATGGGGATTTCCCTTTTTTAATGTAAACCAGATGTGCAATAACCAACGGAACCATCAAATTTGTCGGCCATCTTTTACATTGATTACCGAAACAGCGAGCAATTAGAAAAGAAGAGCATATGACTATTCAGTGTAAAATTATTTCTAAGGAACATACACCAATGGCCCCCTGATTACAACAAGCCATTGGCTTTGGTCTTACAAGACTCGTTCTTGATCAGCGATCTTCGGAGGTTCCGTATTGGGCCCAAGAACAAAACGGGTTTTTCCGAACATCAGCCATACCGTTATAATTTGTTTTCTGTGTTTTGAAGTGTTCCACTGAATACTGCGATTCCTCTCATAATCGCCTTGATGAACTGCTGCGACTTCTCAATGCTCACGTCTGTCGCGCAGTCAACAGAAGCCCGTCGCCCAAACGAGGACGTGTTTGCTGTTTTAATCAATACAACTGCATTGGTATCGATCCGCCAAATGCAATACAGCTGTTGTTTTTGCTTCAGTAGTGCAACTGGGATGACTAAAACGGATACTAAATTCTCTTGAGTTTTGATAACTGCGAGATGCCCTTCAAGAAATTGAATTCTACTGAACTTTGCTGTAACACTGGCCTAGATTGGAAGAACAAGACAATGTCTTGTAACTTAACTGCAACCAATGAAAATTCATCTTGATTAGCTGCAACTGTAATTGTTCCCAGGTGAACAAAAGTATTCACCTCGAGATTACAAAGACGCTTACTTTAATGGATGATAGTATATGGTTTTCCGATAGACCACGTGTCCGGAAGTGGGCAGTTTGACAAAATTTTCCATCACGTGACCCATAATCCAGTCAATAAAGTCGTCCAGTGCGTTGTCTACATCCAAATTGTCTTCCTTTGTGACCACATTTTCATTCTAAAAGTGGGGGGGGGGGGGGGGTGGAAGAGCCACGCAGTAGGGCTTAGCACAACACACCAGCAAAAATGCAGTGAAGCGAACTTCAGTATTCGCTACCAAGCTTAGTATCTATGTAAACTAGGGGCAAATATTCTAGGTATATTAGGAGTGGGCCTGTTTTGCGTGCGGGGGAGAACAAAGTTTACGGCAGTGGTCAATACAGAGTCCTTATTTTCACTATTCATACACACCTTTTCAAGCGCAGATATAGATGTATAGTGTTCTGCTGCATTCAGGTACAGTAAACTGTGGTGGAAGTGCAATCTCCATCCCATGCAACACCAGTTGTTATGACCAGAGATTGCCTCGCAGAGGATGTTTTTCGTTAATTCATTTTTGTCATAGCATTAGGGAGTTTTCATTCCGAAAAAAATCGAATCATTTTATCCAGTTCATTTTGGGTTGTTTTTGCGTGTTCACAGGCAGCTGAAGTGGAGCAAATC